GAGGAGGCTCGTGAAGGACGCTACTGGGCAGTTGAAGGCAGTCGCCCTCCAACAACAACGGAGGGCGGAGGAGCGACGCTCAGAACAACGAGCGGAGCGCCGGGTGGCTAAAGCACAGCAGGTTGGCACAGTAGGGGGCACAGGTGGTGCATCAGCCAGTCATCTCAGTCAGTCGACCCGTGGCACCTGCTGGGTCTGCCCCGTGACCTCCTGCCAGCGGGCGTTCGACACTTCACGTGATAGCCTCAGGGTGCACATAGCCTGGCACAAGCGTCGTGGTGACATCACCGCCACTTGGTGGCGAATGGCGGTTGTTGTTGTGTATATGAGTGTGTGTCACTGTGTGTGTGTCTGTGTGTGCGTGGTGTGTATGTGAGTGTGTGTTTGTGAGTGCACATGGCCTGGCACAAGCGTCGTGGTGACGTCATCGCCACTTAGTGGTGAATGGCGGTTATTGTTGTATGTATGTGTGTATGTATGTGTTTGTGTGTGTATGTGAGTGTGTGCGAGTGTATGTGTGTATGTGAGTGTGTATGTGAGTGTGTGTGTGTATGTGAGTGGGGAGCGATAGTGTAGCGGTTAGCGCTACGCTGCGCTATGAACCTGGCGACCCGGGTTCGATTCCCGCTCACGGCCAACACCAGTGACGATTATCTGAACCGGTCCCGGGCCTCCCCTAGGTCGACTCAGCCTCAAATTAGTACCTGGTGCGGTGTGTAAACATTGGCACTAGGGAGACAAAGGCGGTCGGGCGTGGTGCTGGCCACCCACCCCCTCGTGTACCGTTCCGGCCTTCATTGGTGCTCGCTAACAGCACTTGCCCCTACAGTCTGTTAAGGCTATACGGGGGATCTTTTCTTTGTATGTGAGTGTGTGTGTGAGTGTTTGTGTGAGTGTGTGTTTGTGAGTGTTTGTGTGTGTGAGTGTGTGTGAGTGTTTGTGTGTATGTGTACGTGAGTGTGTTTGTGTGTGTATGTGAGTGTGTGTATGTGTGCGTGTGTATGTATGTGAGTGTGTGTACGTGTGTACGTGTGTTTGTGTGTGTATGTGAGTGTGTGTTTGTGTGTTTGTGTATGTGAGTGTGTGTACGTGAGTGTGTGTGTGTACGTGAGTGTGTGTGTGTGAGTGTGTGTTTGTATGTGAGTGTGTGTACGTGAGTGTGTATGTGTGTGTATGTGAGTCTGTTTATGTGTGTGTACGTGTGTGTATGTATGTGAGTGTGTGTACGTGAGTGTGTGTTTGTGTGTGTATGTGAGTGTGTTTGTGTGTGTATTATTATCTGAACCGGTCCTGGGCCTCCCCTAGGTCGACTCAGCCTCAAATGAGCACTTGGTGCGGTGTGTAAACATCGCCGCTAGGGAGACAAAGGCGGTCGGGCATGGAGCTGGCCACCCACCCCCTCGTGTACCGTTCCGGCCTTCATAGGTGCTCGCTAACAGCACTTGCCCCTACAGTCTGTTACAGGCTATACGGGGGATCTTTGTCTTTGTGTGTGTCTGTGTGTGTGTGTTTGTGTGTGTGTATTTGCGTGTGTATGTGTGTGTATGTGTGTATTGTGAGTGTGTGTATGTGTGTGTACGTGAGTGTGTGTATGTGTGTGTACGTGAGTGTGTGTATGTGTGTGTATGTGTATGTGAGTGTATGTGAGCATATGTGTGTGTATGTGAGTGTGTGTATGTGTTTGTGTGTATGTGAGTGTGTGTATGTGTTTGTGTGTATGTGAGTGTGTATGTAAGTGTGTGTATGTGAGTGTGTGTATGTGAGTCTGTGCTTGTGTGTGTGTGTATGTGTGTGTATGTATGTGTGTATGTGAGTGTGTGTATGTGTGTATGAGTGTGTGTATGTGTGTATGTGAGTGTGTGTATGTGTGTATGTGAGTGTGTGTGTTTGTGTGTGTGTGTGTATGTGTGTATGTGAGTGTGTGTGTGTGTATGAGTGTATGTGAGTGTGTGTATGTGTGTATGAGTGTGTGTATGTGTGTATGTGAGTGTGTGCGTGTTGTGCTGTGCGAGTTAAAGACAGGAAACCGCACCCATCAGCAACGACTCCAAAAAGACAAAGTCCCTCCTCCTCCCTCCTCCTTCCCGCCATAACAACTTGCAGCCCGGAGCTTAAACCGGTCTTACAATGCCTCAGCAACGCCCTCACTGCCAACACATCTCACAGAACCTTCTACATAGACCGTGCTGATACCACTCGCTGCTGACAGCACTTGCCCCACTCGCTGCTGACAGCACTTGCCCCAACACATCTTACAGAACCTTCTACATAGACCATGCTGATAACTACTCACTAACAGCACTTGCCCCAACACTCACATCACAGAACCTTCTTCATAGGCCGTGCTGATAACTACTCACTAACAGCACTTGCTCCAACACTCACATCACAGAACCTACTTCATAGGCCGTGCTGATAACTACTCACTAACAGCACTTGCTCCAACACTCACATCACAGAACCTTCTACATAGGCCATGCTGATAACTACTCACTAACAGCACTTGCCCCAACACTCACATCACAGAACCTTCTTCATAGGCCGTGCTGATAACTACTCACTAACAGCACTTGCCCCAACACTCACATCACAGAACCTTCTTCATAGGCCGTGCTGATAACTACTCACTAACAGCACTTGCTCCAACACTCACATCACAGAACCTACTTCATAGGCCGTGCTGATAACTACTCACTAACAGCACTTGCTCCAACACTCACATCACAGAACCTTCTTCATAGGCCATGCTGATACTACTCACTAACAGAACTTGCCCCAACACTCATCTTACAGAACCTTCTACATAGGCCGTGCTGATACCACTCGCTGCTGACAGCACTTGCCCCACTCGCTGCTGACAGCACTTGCCCCAACACTCACATCACAGAACCTTCTACATAGGCCGTGCTGATACTGCTCACTAACAGCACTGATGATGTTCACTGTTACACCACCACCACCACCGCTACACCAGGTAAACTCATTTGAGGCTGAGTCGACCTAGGGGAGGCCCAGGTACCGGTTCAGGTGGTGGCCGTGAGCGGGAATCGAATCTGGGGGGGGAGGGGTCTCTACCGGGTTCGTAGGGCAGCGTAGTGCTAACCACTGCACCACCACTCCTCCACCAGTCACCAGCTACCTTAGTGACTGGACTATACTACACACTACACACTACTATACTACACACCACTACACTACTATACTACACACTACACTACTATACTACACACCACTACACTATACTACACACTACACTACTATACTACACACCACTACACTATACTACACTACACATTACACTACTATACTACACACCACTACACTACTATACTACACACCACACTACACTAATAAACTACACACTACACTACTATCCTACACACTACACTACTATACTACACACTACACTACTATACTACACACTACACTACTATACTACACACTACACTACACACCACCACACTACACTACTACACTATACTACACACTACACTACTATACTACACACTACACTATGCTACACTATACACTACGATATAAACTACACACACCACCACCACTACACTTTACATACACTACACCGCACTACTGCACATTCCAACAGAGCCTACACTATACACTACAGAACTACACTCCACTCTACACCACCCATGCACTACACTACTACACAACAACACGACTATACCCTACACACTACAACACTACATAATACACTACATAGTACACTACATAATACACTACACACAGGCTCACCCTCTCAGGCCATTGTGCCAGGGGGCTGTTAAACACTCGACAAACATCCCAGCTGCAGTGGCCGTGTCCATGGGAACAACATTTGTGTGTGTGTGTCTGTGTGTGTGAGTGTGTGTGTGGGTGTCTGTGTGTGTGTCTGTGTGTGTGTGTGTCTGTGTGTGTGTGTCTGTGTGTGAGTGAGTGTGTGTGTCTGTGTGTGTGTCTGTGTGTGTGTGAGTGTGTGTGTCTGTGTGTGTGTGAGTGTCTGTGTGTGTCTGTGTGTGTATGTCTGTGTGTGAGTGTCTGTGTGTGTGTGTCTGTGTGTCTGTGTGTGTGTCTGTGTGTGTGTCTGTGTGTGTGTGTGAGTGTCTGTGTGAGTGAGTGTGTGTGTCTGTGTGTGTGTGTGTGTGTCTGTGTGTGTCTGTGTGTGTGTGTCTGTGTGCGTGTGTGAGTGTGCGTGTCTTTGTGTGAGTGTCTGTGTGTGTGTGAGTGTCTGTGTGTGTGTGAGTGAGTGTGTATGTCTGTGTGTGAGTGTCTGTGTGTGTGTGAGTGTCTGTGTGTGTGTGAGTGTGTGTGTGAGTGTGTGTGTGAGTGTCTGTGTGTGTGAGTGTGTGTGTGTGAGTGTGTGTGAGTGTGTGAGTGTGTGTGTCTGTGTGTGTGAGTGTCTGTGTGTGAGTGTCTGTGTGTGTGTGTCTGTGTGTGTGAGTGTCTGTGTGTGTGAGTGTCTGTGTGTGACTGTGTGTGTCTGTGTATGCGAGTGTCTGTGTGTACGAGTGTCTGTGTGTGCGAGTGTCTGTGTGTGTGTGTCTGTGTGTGTCTGTGTGTGTGTGTCTGTGTGTGTGTGTGTGTGAGTGTCTGTGTGTCTCTGAGGGTCTGCGTGTCTCCGAGTGTCTGTGTGTCTCTGAGTGAGTGTCTCTGAGTGTCTGAGTGTCTCCGAGTGTCTCTGCGTGTCTCCGAGTGTCTCCGAGTGTCTGTGTGTCTCTGAGTGAGTGTCTCCGAGTGTCTCTGCGTGTCTCCGAGTGCGTGTCTCCGAGTGTCTCTGAGTTCGTGTCTGAGTGAGTGTCTCTGAGTGTCTCCGAGTGTCTGCGTGTCTCTGAGTGTCTGTGTGTCTCTGAGTGAGTGTCTCCGAGTGTCTCTGCGTGTCTCCGAGTGTCTGCGTGTCTCCGAGTGTCTCTGAGTGAGTGTCTCTGAGAGTCTCTGCGTGTCTCCGAGTGCGTACTCCACTACCAACACAGCAGAGGCAGTGTCCAGGTGCAGCGTAGTCTTACCTTAGTACCGACAGATATGTCTGAGACAATTCTGCAAAGACACAAGAGGCACAAAAAGGGACGGGGGTTAGACAGACGAGGCATCACGCACCGTACCGTGCCAGTTGTGCTGCCGTGCCAGGCTAGGTGCACGAGGAGGAGGTCACGGGACAGACCCGGCAGGTGCCACGGGTTGTGCTGCCGTGCCAGGCTAGGTGCACGAGGAGGAGGTCACCGGACAGACCCTGCAGGTGCCACGGGTTGTGCCGACTAAGATGAGTGGCCGATGGACCAGCAAAGCTGCAGTGGCAGCTGTCACCACACTGAGTGAGTCTGCAGGCAGTAGCGGTGATACAGCCTAGGGGCACCCCCAGTGGCAGCTGTCACCACACTGAGTGAGTCTGCAGGCAGTAGCGGTGGCGATGATACAGCCTAGGGGCACCCCCAGTGACAGCTGTCCCCACACTGAGTGAGTCTGCAGGCAGTAGCGATGATACAGCCTAGGGGCACCCCCAGTGACAGCTGTCACCACACTGAGTGAGTCTGCAGGCAGTGGGGGTGGCGATGATACAGCCTAGGGGCACCCCCAGTGGCAGCTGTCACCACACTGAGTGAGTCTGCAGGCAGTGGGGGTGGCGATGATACAGCCTAGGGGCACCCCCAGTGACAGCTGTCCCCACACTGAGTGAGTCTGCAGGCAGTGGGGGTGGCGGTGATACAGCCTAGGGGCACCCCCAGTAGCAGCTGTCTCCACACTGAGTGAGTCTGCAGGCAGTGGGGGTGGCGGTGATACAGCCTAGGGGCACCCCCAGTAGCAGCTGTCTCCACACTGAGTGAGTCTGCAGGTAGTGGGGGTGGCGGTGATACAGCCTAGGGGCACCCCCAGTGACAGCTGTCCCCACACTGAGTGAGAACCCAACCACGTGAAGATTCATTTGTGTCGATCGATATATGCGAAGGCTGGGACATGACAACAACAATAATAACAACAATGCAACTGTACGGGCGACGATGGTGGTGGTGGTGGTGGTTGAGATTATGCATGGAGGGGTTGTTGTTGTTGTTGTTGTTAAAAGTTGTGGTGTTAAAGTTAGAAGACACACCCACACACTCGCACACCCACACACTCGCACACCCACTCCCACACACACCCACACACTCACACAACCACACACACACCCACACACACTCCCACACACTTGCACACCCACACACTCCCACACACACCCACCCACACGCACACCCACACACTCGCATACCCACTCCCACACACACTCACACACCCACACACACACTCGCACACCTACACACACCCACTCACACAACAACAACCGTCATTCGCCACTAAGTGTCGGTGACGTCACCACGACGCTTGTGCCAGGCTATGTGCACCCTGAGGCCACTCCCTCACACACTCCCACTCACACACTCCCACACCCACTCCCACACCCACTCACACAACCACCCACCCACACACACTCCCACACCCACTCACACTCACCCACACACCCACCCACTCACACACTCACACACCCACACACACACACCCACTCACCCACACACTCACCCACACACCCACTCACCCACCCACTCACACACCCACACACCCACTCACCCACCCACTCACACACACACTCACCCACTCACACACCCACCCACACACACCCACTCACACACCCACCCACACACACCCACTCACACACCCACCCACACACACACACCCACTCACTCAAACACTCACCCACCCACTCACACACCCACACACCCACTCACCCACCCACTCACCCACTCACACACACTGCTTGTTGTTACATTTAGTTTGCTGTCCCTCCAAAGAGCTTCGCACGGTGGTGCGAAATATGTTCACCATACACACAACTACATCGGCACTGGGGGGGGGAGACAAAGGCGGCCGGGGCGGGGGAGTGGTGCTGGCCACAACCACCACCATCACTTACAGGGCTGACCTCAACATGTGGTAGAGAGGCTACAACAGGCCGTCTGGTGGCGGTGATGGTGGTGATGGTGGTGATGGTGGTGGTGGTGATGGTGGTGGTGATGGTGGTGGTGGTGATGGTGGTGGTGGTGATGGTGGTGGTGGTGATAGTGGTGATGGTAATGATGGTGGTGGTGATGGTGGTGATGGTGGTGATGGTGGTGGTGATGGTGGTGATGATGGTGATGGTGGTGATGATGGTGCTAATTTTCAATTTAAAGCTTTCGTGACTGCAATGATTTCATCTTCTTTGGTTCTTTCGGTAAAGTCACGTAGAATGAGAACAAAATAACACATTGATAAAATATTATTGTGTTATTTTATTTTATCAATTTATTATTTTATTCTCATTCTACGTGGTGACTTTACCGAAAGAACAAACGAAGATGGTGCTAATGTTACTGGTAGTGATGATGGTGATGGGAATGATGGTTATGATGATGGTGGTGACGATGATGGAGTCACGATGGTGATGATGGTGATGATGTTGCTGCCTTAGCAGATTTGTTTTTTCTGACAGCATAATAAGCACAAGGCAGTAAGGCCCTCACATTCCTGAGTAGAAACCACAGCTTGCCCGCGTGTGTGTGCCTGCGTGTCTGCCCTTCAAAGGAAAAAGGGCTACGCGATACAATGGGCGACGTTGTTTCAGGCAACGGGCCTTCTGCAGAGCGTGGGCAGAGGGAGAGAGGGGGTCCAAAGAGGGGTTGAGTGATGATCGCGATGACTCGCAGAGACCCACGCACGGACTCACCGCACTGAGTCTATGGGTCTATTCATAGAGACCCATAGACTCCTCACACAAAGACCCACAGACTCACCACACAGTCTATGGGTCTCTACATAGAGACTATGGGTCTCTACATAGAGACCCATAGACTCACCACACAGAGACCCATAATCACAGAGACCCATAGACTCACCGCACTGAGTCTATGGGTCCTCTTCATAGAGACCCACAGACTCACCACACAGAGACCCACAGACTCACCACACAGAGACCCACAGACTCACTACACAGAGACCCATAGACTCACCACACAGGGACCCACAGACTCACCACACCCCATAGACTCATGGTGGCGGTGATGGTGGTGATGGTGGTAGTGGTGGTGATGGTGGTAGTGGTGGTGATGGTAGTGATGGTGGTGATGATGGTAGTGATGGTGGTGATGATGGTAGTGATGGTGGTGATGATGGTAGTGATGGTGGTGATGATGGTAGTGATGGTGGTGGTGATGGTGGTAGTGGTGGTGATGATGGTAGTGATGGTGATGATGGTGGTGGTGATGGTGGTAGTGGTGGTGATGATGGTGATGGTGGTGATGGTGGTAGTGGTGGTGATGGTAGTGATGGTAGTGGTGGTGATGGTGGTGATGGTGGTGGTGATGGTAGTGGTGGTGGTGATGGTAGTGGTGGTGGTGATGGTGGTGATGGTAGTGATGATGGTAGTGATGGTGGTGATGGTGGTGATGGTGGTGATGGTGGTAGTGGTGATGGTGGTGGTAGTGATGGTGGTGATGGTGGTGATGATGGTGGTGGTGATGGTGGTGGTAGTGATGGTGGTGATGGTGGTGATGGTAGTGATGGTAGTGATGGTGGTGATGGTGGTAGTGGTGGTGATGGTGGTGATGGTTATAGTGGTGATGGTGGTGATGGTGGTGATGGTGGTGATGGTTATAGTGGTGATGGTGGTGGTGGTGATGGTGGTGGTGGTGATGGTGATGGTGGTGATGGTAGTGGTGATGGTGGTGATGGTGGTGATGGTGGTAGTGGTGATGGTGGTGATGGTGGTGATGGTGATGATGGTGGTGATGATGGTGGTGGTGATGGTGATGATGGTGGTGATGGTGGTGATGGTGGTGATGATGGTGATGATGGTGGTAGTGATGGTAGTGGTGATGGTAGTGGAGGTGGTGGTGATGATGGTGATGGTGATGATGGTGATGATGGTGGTGGGAGTCAGGTGGAGGACTTCTCTTTGTGTGTCTCCAGGTCGAGGCACAGCCAAACACGGGAGAGGGAGGGGGCTTAGTGAGCAGCAGGGCGAGAAGGGGGCGAGAGGGAGGGAGGGGAAGGAGGGAGGGGGAGGATTGTGAGAGAGTGAGAGAGTGTTGGTGGGTCTCTGTGGGTCTCTATGGGTATGGGTCTCTAGCGGTATGGGTCTCTACCGGTATGGGTCTCTAGCGGTATGGGTCTCTGTGGGTCTCTATGGGTGTCTATGGGTCTCTATGGGTGTGGGTCTCTACCGGTATGGGTCTCTGTGGGTATGGGTCTCTATGGGTCTCTGTGGGTCTCTATGGGTATGGGTCTCTGTGGGTCTCTATGGGTATGGGTCTCTATGGGTCTCTATGGGTATGGGTCTCTATGGGTATGGGTCTCTATGGGTCTCTGTGGGTATGGGTCTCTATGGGTATGGGTCTCTATGGGTCTCTGTGGGTATGGGTCTCTATGGGTCTCTATGGGTATAGGTCTCTATGGGTCTGTATGGGTGTCTATGGGTCTCTATGGGTGTGGGTCTCTGTGGGTCTCTGTGGGTCTCTATGGGTCTCTGTGGGTCTCTGTGGGTCTCTGTGGGTCTCTACGGGTATGGGTCTCTACGGGTATGGGTCTCTGTGGGTGTCCATGGGTCTCTATGGGTCTCTGTGGGTGTCTATGGGTCTCTGTGGGTGTCTATGGGTCTCTACGAGTATGGGTCTCTATGGGTCTCTATGGGTCTCTGTGGGTGTCTATGGGTCTCTACGAGTCTGTATGGGTATGGGTCTCTGTGGGTGTCTATGGGTCTCTGGGTGTCTATGAGTCTCTGTGGGTGTCTATGAGTCTGTGGGTGTCTATGGGTCTCTGTGGGTGTCTATGGGTCTCTGGGTGTCTATGAGTCTCTGTGGGTGTCTATGAGTCTGTGGGTGTCTATGGGTCTCTGTGGGTGTCTATGGGTCTCTGTGTGTCTATGAGTCTCTGTGGGTGTCTATGGGTCTCTATGGGTATGGGTCTCTGTGGGTATCTATGGGTCTCTGTGGGTGTCTGTGGGTGTCTGTGGGTGTCTGTGGGTCTCTGTG